TTATCAACTTCTGAAAATGCTTGGTTTTTTTGAGGTCGTCATGGACAAAAAGTATGGCGTTGATGGTTTAATCGTCACAAACACTACCATTTCGAGACCTGAGGGACTTAAAAGTTCTTTTCAAAGTGAAAATGGCGGCTTGAGCGGCAAGCCTTTAAGAGAACTAAGCACTAAGTGTGTAAGTGATATGTACAAGTAAGTAAAATAATTCTTGATGCATTACTTCTGAATTACTTTGATTGTAACAGTTGTAATAATTTGTGCACAATTTTTTTGACATAGTGGTGCAAATTTTGTTTGTTGTCAGTTTTTAAAAGCACAAAATACCGTTAATCTCGCGTTCCTTACGATCCTTGAGAAATATTTAGGCTCGTTTTCAGTTTTCGAGAAGAACATTTTATCTAGATTTTTTTGAGTTGAAGTGGGTGGTGTTAATTGTTACTGTAAATCTAAATTTAAGGCTGACTGGTGGAAAAGTTCCGATTATTGGATGTGGTGGTGTTTCCTCTGGAGAAGATGCTTACGAGAAGATTCGTGCTGGAGCTAGTCTTGTTCAGCTTTATACGGGGCTTGTTTATCAAGGTGCGGCTTTTGATTTTTTTATTGTTAGGAAGATTTTTTTGATCATACGCTTCCATTAATCACTAATAAGCTCTTTTCCCTTACAAGTCGGTTGAAAAGCTTTGAAGCCATTCTGCCGCAGAGATTTTTTTTTTTGAGTCATTGTTGTTTTAGTTAACAATAATTTTTCTTTCAAAGTTATTTGGCTTTCCAGTTTACCAGATTTGAACTTAGCGGGTTATTCTTTTCAACGTTTTGTATGCAACAGTTTTGAAGTGAAGTAGCTTTTTATATGTTTTGAATACTTGTCAGTTAATATCAAGGCAAGAATTTAGAATTTTTAGTCAAAATTTTGAGCCATCGCTACATTGGGAATCTGTGAGTTCTGCTCATAATCGTTGTCATTAATCCACCTTTCAAAATAGAGCATGGGGAAATTTTCTGTTCATTAGCGCTCTTGAGGAGAACTTTTCAATGTTGCAACAAGCAAACTTAGTGAATCCGGAATTTGCCCAGCATATAATTTGGAAACTTCTGCAATCAATCTGTCTGTTATCACAACTTTTTCTTCTTTTTCTGCCACTGTTTAATACTTTGAGCAGTTCTCATTTTCATTTATTGAG